TTCAGTTTGGCCTTTCAGCACATGTGTGGGACAATCCCCACATGCAGGAGTACACTCAAGACGAGATGCAAGAATAAATGATGATGTAAAGCGGATGAAGCGGTTGCGTCGTTGGTGACAAGAGGCAGTTTCATCGTAGAATCATTTGTATTAACGCAACCACTTCAACTTGATGTGCATGTATACGTTACTGTTATTTACGAGACACACAAACACTTCAACTCAAAAGTGAAAGTGTGGAAGAGAAAAATATGTTGCGGGGACAAATGAGTAAGAAAGGCGCAATGATCTCATGGCGCTCTTCTGAAAACAGCCTGTCTTGTGATGCATTACGCGCACGCACACAAGCGCACACACAAGCGCACACACAGCTATCTAGGAAATGAGAACGGGCCCTATCCGTGGATAATGGTCCATCACAACCCATGATGGTTTCCTCGAGAAGAGTAAATGGCAGTAAATGGGATGTTGATTGAATCACCACAATGTCATGTACACCAGATGGCCAAAAAATAATAAAGGCCTTGCACCTTACCATGACACCAAAGAAACAAACAACGTCTAACAGGGGGTCCATTTCCTAAACAATCCCTGGACGAAAGGAGAGACACTTGATTATTTTCATTGTAGGACAGCACAAATGGAAAATAAGACGGAATGTAATTTCACTCGATTGGATGAGAGATTTGGGAAGAGAAATAGCTCCTCCTCCTCCCGAACATTCAGCCAATAGACCACAAGTCCCACCCTCCCTCTGTGAGTAGGAGGATTTCAGTCCTCTAAAGTTATTACATCAAACTACATTGCCTGCCTGCCACTCACCCGTCCCCCTCCCCGTCCGTCCGTCCGTCCCCCCTCCCGAGGACACGGTCTTCTTTAGTTACCTTGCCTTAAAGAAACAGTTTGATACGTCAGCGTAGTCAAAGCCCATTTGTTTCTCTTCAGCTCTCCCACCCAGTGGCTACATGAAATGCTGCCGTCATGGAAACATGCTGCGGGAATGAACAAAGACAACCAATCTTGTTAAAAAGCCTCATTAAAAAAAAAAAAAAAAAACGAGGAGGGGGGGGCCAGACGCCAAAAAAAAAAGTTCAAATTCTTCCTTAAATGAATGGAGTGACCAGGGGAAAAGGACGCTACTGCCAGCACTGATGAAATCTGCCCTTTGGGAACATCTGGCTCAAGTAAACAGTTTCCATCCACTTATTATGCCTCAAGCCATTGAAGGTAGCAGTGCATGAAATGGTCACCGTCATGCTCGAGGGCCAAGATGTTGTCGCTCTACATCTGTGGCAGATAATCCTTCGCGGGTGAAGGCCGAATATGAGAGTGTGACAAAGCAGTTCCAATCCGATTACGCTACTTCATGGGCCAAACTGGTTGCGGACCGCGCTTCTGAGCGGTTGTCGGTTGTGTCCGCGTTCACCTTCGGAATTGCAGGTGTGCAACTTTGAGGCAGATTTCAGTCTTCCACAATCAGATGCTGCCACAATCAGATCAAAAAGTAATTTGGCCACAGCATCAACTTCTAAACACAAGCTTTCCTTTGCGGTCATCTTAGGCCGGGCTCTGGGTCACAACGGTTGTCGGAGGTCTACCCTTCTGCCCCCTCCCCCTTTCGAGTTTAACGTCCGCATCTACGCTTTCACAATCGCCGACCTCTTGCTGCACCAACAGTCAATACCGCCGGCGTTCTGCAGGGACTCGGGTCAGCCAGAGGTTAGACGATGTCAGCATTTTGTTCTCATAAGCTTGAAAAAGAAGGAAAAGAAGGGTGCACGTGCAGCCAAAGACAGAGAGGTGCCAAGTGAGAGGACATGACGATGGACTGACACGGCGGGAGAAGGAACACATCTATCCGGGTCTCCTGGGATCAGTCACCGCTCTATCCTTCCCACGGGGAAACCCAAAGGTAGGCTGATAAATGGCCCCGCTAACGGGGGGGGGAACAGAGCGGTTATCTCCAAAGGACTAAAAAGATAAAACGGTTATTTCTTCGCCAAGTGGTTCCAGTTAAGAGTTGAAGCTAAATCGTATCTGTGATGGAACTTCAAACCAACATTCAAAACGCAGAAGCCACGCTGGGACTCAACCCGATTTCCTTGAATTGGTCACACTGAGTCATCAAGGCCCTTCTTATTACACAGACTCACGCCTTCTAACAAGAACATTACACTCAGCAATTCTTTTTCACCAGTGGGTTTATTTACTTATTTACTAGGGTTTTCGAGATTTGACCAAAAGTAGAATCCAGAATTTCCTCTAAAAGAAATAGTTTAACCTTGTGGGAAAACATGTCTGGAGTGAAGTGACAATAGAAATACCACACACACACACACACACACACACTATAAACAGCAGCCAGTTAGCTTAGCGTAGCATAAAGACTGACAGAAAACACAGAGGCCGCAAACATCCAAGACCCCTCCCAGGCCGGGTGCGGTGAGTTACGGGTGTCTCCGCTGCTTGCTTAGCAACCTCACTGTGAAATGAACGACTCAAGATGACAAAAGCTTCCGTTAAACCACAACTTGTGGCGTTTACCCTTTGTTTTCATGTACAACATGTTATATTGGAGAGCTTTAGGGGGTGTCAGTAGTTGGATTTTTAGGGTGGGATGCAACCAGTATTGCAGTCTGAAAGCCATGCACTTTTTGTTGGACATACAAATGAAGACAGCGGGGTGGGGGGGGGGGGGGGGGGGGGGGGGGTGAGAAGGCAGCAGTGACGTGCCAGGCACACACCCAGACACGCTGGAGATGACTCACTGTGACAGAGAGAGCGCGGAGGCTCAAAAACACACAGGTATTGCTGAGTAATTTCCTCTGTGTGTGCGTCATTTGTTAAACAAACGAACATCTGTAACATCTGCAGCAGAAAAAAGCATTTTGAGGCGGGACATTGCAGGTCCCCACCACTCCAGAGAGACGCACAAAAAAAAAGAAACACGCAATTAGTGAAGTGACCCTGTGGAATTTCACAGAAAGAATACCTCACAGAACATTCCAGATTAGCCCCCAACCTCTTGTCTGTCCGTCGCCTCGATCCTTCCTCTCCCTTTGGACGCATTAGGAAACTTGAAGGCAACTTTTACGGGACCACGCTCAAATGTGCACAGCCATGAAAAACAAATAATAGAACAAAGCACCAGCTCTGCACCCCCCGACCCCGGTCAACAAAGAATGACTCCTTGCTTTCAGGGATTGACGCGCTCTCCCCCTGCGAAAAGACAAAACGAAACCAAGTGCAGAGCCGGTGTGACCAGTAACGATGGCCAACTGGGATAAACGCATCCATTCCCTTTCCCAGATGTTACAACATCTCACTTCTTTTTCCTTCTTTTTTTTGAAACTGTATCCAGAGGATCCGGCATCACGGCCTTAAAGCTCAACAACAACCAAACAAATCTACAGCCGCTGATCAACGGAACCATTAGCGGCATGAACCGTTTCAAAATGACGCAAGGGACCGGCGCTGCGCAGGAAGCGTTTGTCACGGTTTATGATAACAGGAAGTGGCATGTGTACAGTATGATAGAAACGTGCTGAAATGGCTTATCTTATTTTGGTTATCAGCTGCCGCTTTCTTTCAATTCAGATTAAAGACAGCGCTTTAAAAAAAACTTGACAACAATCTGTTCACAAGTTCCACTGCCTTCTTCTTCGTTTTCTGTGAACACACAGAACACGAAGGCTTGTGCAGACGTTGTGCGCAGGACATCCTTGAATCGGACGATGGAGTTTCCCTTTCGACCACAGGTTTCAGAACATGTCGGAGGGGTGGAGTCTTTTCACAGAAGGGGGGGGAAAAGAAGTCATCTTTCTTTGAACATCCACTCCGCAAGAGTTTCATGAAGATGTGAAGCCACTCGGTCGGCCGACCACGCGACTAGTTTCACACCTCGTGCTCCACCAGAAGGCCGCCAACACACCCTCGAATAATCGTACATTTGGTAAACCATTTGAAAGAAATTCCGTCCTCAGTCTGAATTATCTGCACCCGTTGCTTCCTAAAAATAACTATGTTCCCTAAAAATAACTATGCTTAAAGAGAAAACTCCATGATTATGTGTCCATGGAAGCACTTGATTAGACTTCATGGTGGTTGTTCAGAGAAGAGAACGAACGTTTTTCATCTCAGCATCTGAACCAAACAGGTCAATAGAGACCACCAGCCCTCTGCTGAAAGGACGCCCAGCAGCTGCCCCACCGCCACCACCACAACACAAGCCATGGAGACCAGCAATGATGACCTGGGGGGGGGGGCCATCGGGGACATAAAGAAATGGGGGGGGCGGGGGGGGCTGTTGTGCTGTGTAACATTGCATGCCAAGCCCCGGGACAAGAGAGCGATCATCACCCCTCACCTTCTAATTTTAGACGTGAGTCGTGAGACCCAAATAAACAAATACGCTGGATGCAGACAATGCCCTGTTCCGTCCACCCGCGCGCACAGCCCGTGTAAACACTCCACGATGCGCGCACGCCGCCGCTCCGCATTGTGTCGGTGCAGCCATGTGTGACCAACAGGGCAGCGTGGATGTGGCGCTATGCGATCGGAGGAGCGGTCACGTTTGGTCTCACAGTGGGGGGGCTCCTACGGGGGCGATCAGCGACCGCAGTCGGTTTGATCACTCGGGAGTGCGCCGTGCAGGATTCAAACATCGGGTAAAAGTGACAGGAGCGACGTGTGCGCGTTAAGTGTCCTTCGGAGAAGCTGCTGCGGGTGAGAAGTTGTCAGTGACGTATGTACAAGCGGTCACTTGGTTGGAAAGGGTCTTCCGCGGGCGGAGAAGGGAGAAGCTACCGTGAGGGACACGTCGAAGCGTTCATCCCAATTGCGCCGGAGGCGTTTCTCCTGCGCTCCGTGTGGGCCGCTGCCACATGCCCCGGGACGAGAGAGAGCCCCGACCGGGTTCCGCTGTCAGGCGCCGCTCTACCACAGCGCGGTGATAACAAATGACACAAACAAAACAAAACAAAACAAAAAAACACACTCACCTCCTCCACCGTGAGGGGCATGCATATCCTGTACTCCTTCAGCAACATCTTCCCTCCCCGCGCGCGCGCGTGTCTCTCTCTCTCTCTCTCTCTCTCTCTCTCTCTCTCTCCCCCTCTCTTCGATGTTCTCGCTATGTGTCAGAAAGCTCGCCGAGGGAGCGATCCGTCCGCCAGCCGCCGGGATGTGTGTAATGTCTGGAGACGTGTCAGCGCATGTGGAGGGGATGGTCGGTCCGGGTTACGGATTGCACCCCGAGTTACGACGGAGTTCTTTCATGAGGAGCCGGCGGGGCCTCTTCACGGACTGATTGGGCGCTAATGAGCTCGCTCTCGGATCGGCCCCTCTCTTATCATGGTGAGTCAAGCCGGAGGAAACAGACCGGAACATGTGGGATGCACAGCTTCAAAATAAAAGTGTGGCCATTGTTCATCGTCGAAAGAAGAAACATGCCTGGCAGATTTCCCAGTCGCCTGTTGTAATACCAGTTGTTAATTAATACACTGCAATGATTATTGTTTATATATTATATATATATATTGTTTTATGTATTATTTCACCGAATTGTAACCTGTATCCCCGACTGGATTACGAACTGAAGGGGCCCCTGCCTGAAGGAGGTGTTTGTTATTGGGACTTTTTCCTTAGTAGATGGTGTAGTATAGTTATTTGCCTTAAGCTAATTCAATAGCTCAATTGACTTCTAATAAATGTCTAAATAGCAACTTATAGGGTGTGATAAACTTAAGGAAGGATATAGAGATTTGCATCACGTCAGGTTTAATTCCGAAGTTCTATTTCATGTTTGGTTTCAAACATGTCAAAAATAGGTCAACAAAAGAACGTTTACTGCATAGAGAGCATTTCCTGTGTATTAGTCCTTCTATGATAACCGCCTTCCTATCTAGCTCTCTAGCTAGCTAGCTACATCCATCTACTATTGTCATTGCTGACTAACAGATTAAATATCTCTCCTTTAACGAGACAATTATTTTGAAAAACGATTGACCGGATGTGACATTGCCATACGCTGGGCAGCTGCACGCTGGGGTCGTTTTTGTTTTCTGTCCTTTCACGAACCGCTACAAACACGTGTCCAATTCGCCGATACGCACAATGTGTGCGTTTCAAAGCGGCGTCCCTCCTGCTCAGTAACTTCACACATCACGGTTATTGTCCTTCAACTTGTACTGACAAAACAAGTCCTGTGGAGGAAAAGAGGCTCTCTGCCTCATCCGGTTCCCTCTTCTAGAGCTTGAAGCAGCTCGGAAAATGTAAGCGGTTAAGAGACGCCCCGGTTTCTCCCCCCCCACACACACACACACATCTGTCTCACCCTTCCTCTCCGTCTCACGTGAAAGCTAGACACTACTTGTGTTTGATGGGCCTCGCACAGTTGCATCCCAAGCATACATGGCAAGAACTAATGCTAATAGCATTACATTTTATTTTATTCCTCTTGCACTATGTCTACGTCTTATGTGTCTTGTCCATTGTCTAACTGTCTGCTGTTTACATGTCAAATTCCTTGTATGTCTGACATATTTTCATATCATAGTTTCCTGATTCCTGGGGAACTAAAAGTTGTTGTTGTTGTGTTACAGTCGAACTGTGAAATATTTTTTTACTTGCCAAATCAGTCACCTGACTCTCCTGATCTGAGAAGATAAAAATACCCTGAAGCGAAAGCAAGAAAGATGATCAAATCAACATCAAGATCAAGTACAAGCCTCGAGGTGACAAATGAAGATGGAGTCTGCTGAATTGTTTTTATAAATGCCCTTGAATTACTGGTGGGTCAAACAAAGGACAGCCGAGTGACAAGTGAGATGTCTGTATCTGTGATGAAATCCCTCAGAATTAGTCACAAGTGATCTGTGTCTTGATCATGTGTCTTGATCATGATAAAAAAAAAACTAGAGAGGAAAAATAAACAGGAAACACATTAAGCCATCCCTTATATTGGAGGGAGGAGATGCACTGCTGACTTCATTGACGCCTGTGATTTATTTGCGTCTGTACTCAGCAAAATATGCGCTCATGGTTCTGGATTCGAGATGCTGACAAACAGCATTTTGTACTATCAGCACGCATTCAGCATTTCCACAAGAAATATATTCATGCAGGGTGGCAAGCTCTCAGAAACGACGATTTTAATTTAAACACTCCACTTAATCCCCCAACTGCTGTGTGAGCAGCTCCTTAAAGCAGGTGTTGGGGTCACCCACACGTTTTACTGGAACTCTGGGACACACGTACGCGTAGCCACGGCTGACAGGGTAATTACATAAAAAGATGCAACAGAAATGAAACATCTCTCCACATTTAACTTGTTTCCGTTTGTAATACTAAAAAAAAAATAGTGTGGATTCATAGACAGAATGAGAACTCAGATTGATTGATTAATCTGCAAGTGCACATTATGAGTTTAATCAGTTGTTCTGGATGCGTTTCAAACAACGATACAGCGATTTTCCTTGTTATACAGCATTGATTGATTAGTCTCATTAACTGGTCATCAATCTTATATTGAGATTGAATTCATTTCTAAATGGTCTAACGATGCAGCAGCACCTTAAATGGGCATTATGAATGAAAGCAGGCACACAGATAATGAAATAATCAGGTATATTGTAGCTCTCAGGAAGCTTTGACAAATTATTTCACTAAAGAGCCGCATTTAACAGGAAATAAATGTTCCTTCGCCTAAATGTACGCACTTCTTAGGCATCAAAACGATCTTGAATAGAAATACTAAAACTGATGACTAGTTGCTAGAGCTGGTTAGCATATTGGCCAACAGGTTCAATATGCAATTAATTGAGTGTTCTCGTGTCAGTTATAGATAGCGTACTGTGCCCATAGGCCAAAATACAGATTACTAGTCAACAGCCAACCTTTTATTGTACAGTACAGGCTTTTTTAATGCACAGTGAGTTAACTGGTTTGCATGGCCATCATTTTTATAAATGATAAAAACCACAAACAGCCGAGGAGCTCTTTCACATCAGTTAGGTCATGAAGTTGTCAGATTATTTTATAAACATTCAATCAATAAAATGTTCCTCTGGTGTATTGGGATATCTCACGGCATGACAAAGGCTTTGTGTGTTCAGTTTGATCTGATGCATAAACACAAAGAAGTTCTCTTTAGAAAATAGCCAGGCTTGTATTTCATTTCTGACAGTCTTTGTTTATAGATACATAAAAGCTTGAAGCTGAAGGGCCATGGGACTGGGACAGTCGGTCATGTGACTGGCGTCTCCGAACCAGCCAGTCGTTATTGGGTCAAAACCTCCAGGACACCCCGGCCAGCTGTAGCTTGTCACTACTCCGCCAGCCGCTTAAAGAATCAGATGGAAGGAGAAGGACTTAATAACCAACAGAAGCAAATACAATTACAAAGTGAAATGCGTTCTGAATGGTGTAATATTGAGCTTTTCAAAACTCGCGGGGTGTGTCCATCATTTTACAGCCGTATGTGATTGGCTGCATATTCAAACGTAGCTCCTCCCAGTCCTCTCTTCCTTCAGGCATTTTATGACCTTCCCACCTGACTCCACATGATGGCCGAATCTGAAATCCCTCACTTATAACATCCAAACATAATATGACATGCATTATAACATCACTATTATCATCTTAAATCATCACATTTCATAACATCTTAGCCATTATGTCTAACTCATTTTATGTGGTCCAAAAACATTTGAGCCCCTCAGTCTGCACACATGCAACATGTCCCCTGTCACAAAACTGCATGCTCGGCACAGACAAAATTCCCCTTTCACAAAAAACCTTCAATGGGGAAAAAACTGTCACTCTGGGAGAAGCCTTAGGAAGGACGTCAAAGTTGAGACCCTCCTGGGTGGACAGAGTGAAATAGATGTCTTGTGTATAGTATCGAAAGACTTACAAGATATACAATGTGTATCAGCATAACATAACACATCTAACATATACAATTTTAATTCATATGTAATAACACACAACTGCAATTCTACTATTCATGATCACACATTTTATAATTCCTGGATACGTGTAGTTTATTGGACCTGCGCTCTGCGTGCTGCGCCCTGCATTGGGATTAAACTGATTCGGGGTCAGGGGTCAGGAGCTTTCTCTGCCACGAGCAGGAAAGTAACTGACCCAAATCATTGGGGCCTTTCAAAGCAGTAAACTGTGTGATAAGAGGAAGGCACAATGTAGTCATTAAAGGGACACCTAGTGGTGTACTGTTGTCATTGGACGAGTGTCCATTCATGTAATCGTGTCCATTCACAAAGCGCTTGAATTACGCTGACCATTTGATTGGAAAGGTGTTACAGTTTCAAATTATGTTTGTGTTACTTTATTCTTCATTCTATTTTTTGCCATCAACAACACTTATTATTGCCAATATGAGTAATTTGTTTTTTTTAATCCAATGCAGTCATATTTATGAAATCGAAGCCTCAGCTCTATTTGAAAAAAAGACTAAACCCAATAATAGGGATACCATCCTTTGTTTCGTCATCATAAACACCTCAGTCATCAATCAGATTAAATTGAAATGTGAAAGTCTCAAAGTGTCAGTATTCCCCAATGTGTTTGTCTTTTTGTTCTTGTTGTACAGGCAGAAAGAAGTTTTCTCAGACAGTCTCTCTAAATAACTGAACTCCTTTTGACTGCAGCTCCACTTTTTATGCTCGCAGATATAACAATTACATCAGAGAGAATTGTCCTAAACAATTATAAGGTACCCCTGGTTATTTCCAGCTAAATACAGTCTTTAAAATAGCACCTGCTCCAAATTAAAATGACTTACCTCAATAGAGGTTGTGACAACCTAAAGAAAACATTAAACCAGATGTCTAAAAATATATATGCAGTATGTGTCGTAATTAAAGCGCATTCATTACGTCTAGGTTACAGAACGTCATAACTATGTTATGATCAGAGTTAACAAAATTTAAAAATTTAAACTGAAGACATTTTAGCTTAATTGAAAAATAACCTATATTGTCTCTACATTGTTCCTATATTACTATTCAGTTCGGAGTAGTATTCACCTCTAGTTCAAATATTCTTTTGACTATTCATTTCCACATACGGCTACCAAAGAACGACACTTGTTAAACGTTTTCCGGAGTTTTGTTTGTGTAACTACATACGTAATTTATTAAGAACATTTTACATGATGTATAATAATAGATAGACTGACCGGCGGAAAAAGCATTTCGGCCTCAACTGAAAGTTGGCTTTTATAACGCCTGCCTAAAAACACCTGAGGTCGGGGTCCTCAACAGGTCCTTCAGGCGCCATCGACAGCAGTTCGGAACTCGCCTCTG